GAATTCATTTATACTTGCTCTATAATACAGCATTCAGTATTCAGTATAAACACGACAGACGCAAGCGACCTATCATGCGTGCATCGCAGGGCAAGACCAATGGAACACAAGCTATGCGGTTGTGAGAATTGAACGTTAGCTAGACACCACAGACGCAATAAATGCATCGTGCCTCGACCGCGGGGCAAGCCCAACGGAACGCAGGCCATTCGGCTGTGAGAACTGGACGTTAGCCAGACACCACAGCCGCACTGAACATGTCATGCTTCGATCGACTTGTAGTCGGCCTTCACGCAGGTGAAAAAGCCAGCAAAAGGGTTCTTTTCGAATCAAAACAAACAAAAGATAAGTATCACAGAAATAGAACCCACCCTCCCCCAACCCGCCCATCCTACCCCGCCTCCGTACTCGCCCCCCCCCCGCACCGCCCCAGCCCGTCCCGGGGCAGCCCCCCTTCACCTCCCCCCCCCATTTCCCCTTCCTGCCCCCACCATCCCACTAACCTCCCTACGCCTCCCCATCCCCCCACTCGTTCCACATCAAATCGCCACCGTTCCCCGCCCACACACCACCCCACCCTCACCACCACCTACCACCCAAGGTCATCCCGCTCCCGCTGGGCCCCACTTCGTGCCCTGTCCCCCCCGTGGGAAGCTGCTCGCCGCCTACCAACTCCCCCCACCCATCCCCACACCCACTGAGAAAGCCCAGCCCCCCACCCTCAAAACATCGGCCGCCCAAGAGAAAACACACTCTCCCCCCACACCCCCCGTCGTCCCCCCCCCCGCATCGTGTCCTCCACCCCCTCCCCGCCTGCACCTCCGCGCGCCCTGCCCGTGCCCCCTCCCCCCCTCCACATCCCTCCCCCGTCCGTTTCCGCCCCCCCGCGCTGCTCGTTCCTCCCCCCAGTGTCCCCCTGCCGCGACGTCACCCACGCCCGTCTACCCACCCCCGATGCCCCAGCTCGTCCCCTCCCTACCCTTTCCTGGCCCCATACCCCACCCCCCTCCTCCAAAACCCTGCCTCAGCCTCGCCTCCCACACGGGGACCCCTGTCCGACCGTGTGTCAACCAACATACCCAAGTACACACCTCCCGCCGGCCCCTCGCTCCCCCCTGTTTTCGGGCAACTCACCCCCGCCGCGGCCACCCTTCCGCCGCTCATTTTCCCCGTCCACCCCCCTGGTCCCCGGGTGCGGGGGCCGGGAGGCCCATCCACAACCCGACGACGTCCATAGGCCGCCTCGGCCCGGGTTCCCTCTGCCTTATTCTCCGACCCGAACACGTGCAAGAGTGTCAGTGCGTCGCTGTGTTAGCAATGGAGCAGCAGCTTACACCCGTTTCGTCGATATGCTATAACCCCCAGTCACGTAAAGTACCGGTCCAACAGCGCGTGGCCATTGTGCAGCTGTATGGTAAGTGGCATTTAGCCGATGAACGGAACAGAACGCGCACACGTAGTATGGAACCCGATTTACTAAAAGCATCCTGCGTTACAGTGGCTAGAAAAGCCGGAAGGGTAAGCCAATGAAATAAGGAAGTAAAGCAAGGTCATTGTCAAGCAATCATGGGAGGGTCTGTGTTTACAAATCAATACTCAAGTACGTAGTTGACACCCCCTCTTCCCTGGTAAAGACTACAGACTCCGGCTTGATACCGAGCAATTGGTTTAGGTGTGCGTTTTGAGCGTCTTAATTCTGGTTATACCGCATCCGTTTGTGGTTCCTGGTTTTGTGAAGTAGATTCTCCGTCAGTTATTGGGTCAGTAGCAGTCACTTTTTGATGCCGCTGCTGTGGTTCGTTTAAACGTGGTCGGATATGGTCAAAATGGCGACGCACCACATGGCCGTCCTCCAGCTTTAGCTTCGCTTGATTACTCGATGAGAACATGAATGTAGCAGGTTGCAAGCTTGTTTCGGGAGGCAGCCTTGTGTATACCGGATCTTGGTCATGAACACACATTTCTTCTGGCATCTTTCCATCCACACACATTTATGGTTTCTGGTCGGTGTGGATATTAAATTCTCTTCCCCAGACGTACTAGTGGAAATGCGTGACTCCGAAAATAATCGCTAAGGTCTCTTTGTCCAGTTGAGAGTAATTCCATTCGGCGGGTTGCAGGGTACGAGAAGCAAAAGCGATTGGACGAAAAGAACCGTCGTAAGCCCGGTGGCAAAGGACTGTGCCTACTCCACGTGGGGAAGCGTCACACTGCAGCACTAGAGGCCGGCTCGGATCGAAATGCATGAGATAAGGGTATGCTGAGCACCCTTTTTGCATCCGTGAAGGCGTTTCTTTGATCCGGACCCTGTGTTTGCGAATCCATACTCAAGTGCGTGCGTGACAGTGAGTGTGGGTCCAATGCGGCGAAAACCGCAAGGCGCTATAATGGTATGCACTGCAGTAGGAGCAGTATGTGCGTGTTGTGGTGAAGAAATTTGCAGAAACTGGAAGCGTTTGAAACATCAAACAAAGCGGAACGGCCTCGCACCCTCACGGATGAAGGATCAACTTGCGCGGATGCGCAAGAGGTATGCAGTAACAGTCACCTCAGCATTCGCAAACTCGCACAACATTGCGAAACCACACGGTATGCTGTGCATCGGATTTTGAAGGGAAAAATTCCGGCGGTACAGTGCACAACAGGTGCAAGTGTTGAACGCATGCGATTCACAGAAGCGGTGTGCACTTTCTATGGCGAAGATACGCAACAGGTTTGAGCAACAACCAACCCACGGCAATGTAATGCTTCACGTGTGCCACATAGCGCGAAACTCACAGCCTGGGCTGGGTTGACAGGTCGATAAATTATTGGGCACTTTTCCTTTTTCAGGAATGAGTCCGGTAGGTTGTCGTTTGACAGTACCAATGTATGACATTCCTTAGCATCCTCATACACGGAGATGTTGCAGAGCAGCATCATTCCGCAGCTACAGTCGGAGGGGTTAATGAATAACGTTTAGTGGGAGCAGGATGGCGCACCTGTAAATTCGGCGCAATCGGTTCGTGCCTACCTAAACGAGACATGCAGTGGACGTTGGATGGGTCGAGGAGCGAGAGAATGGACGCGCGATCACCGCATCTGAATCCCATCGATTTTTTCCTATAGGGATACTTGAAGCGCAAAGTTGATAGAACAAAACCCAAAACCTGGATGAACTGAAAGAGAACAGTGTGAACGAAAGTAGGCAGATTTTGTTGGGGACAGTGCGGAAAGTGTTCGCCAACACTATCCGGCGAATGCATGTTGTCCTATCATCAGTAGCGAGGTACAGAAAGATGGAGCGGGTACAGCCACCAGGCTCGTCCCCATTTCACAAGGTGTGCTCTACGAAGCCCAGCAAAAGAGGTCAGGAGTTTGCACCCTGTCTGATTTTCGAGTGAAAGTTAATTTCAACTTCACGCACCGGGAATTACATCTTGGTGAATACCCCATATTGAGGCCAATGCTGCATATGCGCACACGATGACATCGGTACAAGCTTGTAGTACCGGATGGAAAGCGGGTATTTCGGTAACACAACTTCGAACGGAGTAGAAATATATGGAAAAACTAGCCGATGCCCGCAGTCGAAACAAAATTGGTGTCCGAACCCAAAAATTCCTTAACAAACAGTTTGCCGACATGAAACATGGGAAATGTCCTCCAACATACTAGGCCGCTGTGTCAGAAGAATTTGGATGCAGCTACACAGACATCGCTTATTGCTGCTTCCGTACAGTATTCGGCATTCGAAGCAGTGACCTGAATCCCTCGGTCACTGGTTGGAAAAATCAAGACATTAGTCTAGTGTGCCTAGACACGACACAACACCCGTAGTAATACACTCAAAAAATTTGCTACCATAGTACTTAGTTGAAAAGCAAACATACCGGAAGAGAGATCGTTGGTTTTTGAAGCAAGCCGACGTTTGACGAACGAACGAAGCGACAGATCGCCAGAACGAACTCGAGCTACCTCTTGCAAACGGATCGCTCCGTCGATGGCTTGGTGGGGAGCTGTACGGATGAGCAGCCGTACCGTAGGAGATTCACGTACAACAGGGAAGTCGAGCAATGCCAACTGAAACAGAGTAAAGGAGGCCGGTGGAGAGAGGGTGAGCACACGAATAACAACGACCATTAAAAAAGTAGGCATCAACATTCATTCCCCGAAATGTGCATGAAAACCAGAGTGCGCCACTGAGCCTATGATATAATTAAATAAATATTTTATTCTCGAATGCATCCAGGCACATCATTTAAAGCATGAACAGCTCAAAGGGAATAGCAAATAGGAGATGGGAGGAAAAGTGAAACCTAAGGGATCTTCGTAGAAGAGAATTCCGGTCTAGTCACTAGTGACAAGCGTAGGGCTCGCATAGACAAAAGAGTAAATACTGATGAAAGAAGTGATCGATACACGCCCGTGGGATAGTAAAATTGCTAAGAAGCCACTGGAAGTGACTGACAGCCGGTCAAATCACACATAGTTGGCGGCATCCGGTTCCGGATTTGCTTGTCAATGTGGCCTCCACAGAACAGCCACAGGACGTCTGCGCCTACAGAGGGAGCATGGGTGGCCTGAGATTTACCACAAACAGCTCCAACCACACACCTCATATCCGGTGTAAACCCCGAAGGAATAGGACCGGGAGGCACGTGGATGGGAGACACGTTTCATCAATGGAGTCGGCCCACACTCCTTCACAAGCAGACACAACCACGCTGTATTTGGGGATTCAACCACACAAGGCGGTACTCCGCTCTACACACACAGACCGTGTGCAAACTCTTCGAGCCTAGCACGGTCATGGGGACCGTGCACCCCGTCCCCTCCAACAACGACCAATTGTCTCCTGGAGCCAGTATAGACCAGCTAGTGGATAATAGAAAGGCAGACACCTTGTCAATATACACATCAAGCGCAGCCACACCGCGGATGTCAAACAATAGCCAATCACCTGAAATGGGAATTAAAAAATACATATCGAATAAAGTGTACGGTAATTCTGACACAAATCTACGCTAAATAAGCATGTGTAATAAATTGGTTATCAGTAAATCTGCCATAAGTATAGTATGTCAGAAAATAAAAACATTTTATAAAAGCAACAAACGCGAAAATTTTAGCGAATGTAAACACAATTAGCTTAAGCGACCTGTTAATAGAAGATTATTCAGGTAAACGGTAAGGTGATTTAAAAAATGCATTGAGACACGATAGCAAACCCACCACTTGAAATAAAGAGACTCAGAACGCGAACACACAGTCAATAAATCGAATGCAGCGTACCTATCAACGTTGAGCCGGTTCTGTTTACGTTCTCAGCAGAACTCGTCGTCGTTTCGATGCTGGTCACGAGTGGTTTCGCTCGTGGTTCACTAGACCTCCCTGACAGGCACTCGCGATCGCAAGTGCTACAACACCATACCCTCGACGTCGATGGATTACAGCCAATCGGCGCCTGTCGCATTCGCAACTGCCGCTTCTTCTCCGCATGCACCACGACTTTCTATTGCTCCTCGGCAACACTGATCAACTGCATTCGATACCCAACATCTGAAATCAACATTAGAACGTGAGAGGCTCATATCATCGAAACGAAGCTTCGGTTTCCCCGCATGTCACTTCCCCAAACTCAGTTGAGCATATAACAACTGCTTCGGTATCTGCGGCGAATCCATATGCCACACCTGACCGAGCCACTTCATGTGTCTCAGCAAAAGTATGCAGTCCACTGCATACATTCCACTTCGGAGCAACACCTCCGTGCCTGCAACTCTGTCGCACCAACCGATGCGCAGAATCCGTAACAGACACTATTGATGAAACCGCTCGATACCTCACATCTCGAGGATACGTCGCCCAGGTTTTGCTGCAGTATAAAGGAACGGAGAACAGCATGGATTCGTATATCATCAGCTTTGTGCCAAGGTTAAGCTGATGGTTGTTCCAGACTCGGTACTCTAGTTTCCCGGATGCCGTCACTGCCTTCCAGACTCGAATACGCAGCTCACTGTGTAGCTGCTGGTCAATCGACATCACACTCCCAAGGTAGCAGAAGCGGAGAGTGGTTTCTAATACGTCAGCACCAATGCAGACAGCACTTCCGGTGAAGGCTGAAAGTGACGGACGATTTTGCTTGTGTTCATAGTGAGCCCGAATTTGGTCGCTATAGAAGCCAGAGCACTATTAATGTGCTGCAACTCATCTGCGCTGTGTGCAAACAATGCACAGTCGTCAGTAAACAACAGACGGATAGTTGTCTCACAGACTAGAGTTCTCACAACAAAACGATGGATGCTCAGCAACCGACCAATAATACGGTGCTCTACACTATCACCGTAAACATAAGCCTCATTGTTGCATGAAAAAAATATTAAACAAGGCAGGAGCTAAGACACAGCCTTCCTTCATACCAAAGACAACTGCAAAGTCACCTGAGGTCTGTCCCCTCAGCTGCACCGTCGCCCGCATACCACTGTGCAGATATTCAGTTAAACTTACAAACTTACTCGGACAACCAAACTTACCCAACACCAGCTACAATGACTCGCGATTCAGCGTATCAAATGCCTTGGTGAAAACAACAAAAAGCGAGTACAACGGCTGGTGTCGCTCTCTGCACTCCTCCTGCAACTGACGAGCCGAAAACACCATATCGATGGTGCTGCGACCCGGATGGAATCCACACTGTTCTTCTGCCAGATTCGGTTCCACAACCTGACTCGTGAGGCAACTGAGCAGGATTCGGCAAATCACCTTGTTCACACATCTCAGCAAGTTGATACCATGATAATTCGTGGTACACTGCTTGCCTCCATTGCCTCTGTATGGTGGTAAAAAAGGGCGTCCTTCAGCTCAGGAGGCACCTCCTCAATCCACACGCGTTGCACCAACTGGCGCAGCACATTCAATAACGGACCTACGCCGTGATTGAATGCTTCAGGCATGATCCCGTCGGCACCGGCACACTTGACGTTTCCCAGCCGAGCAAGTGATCTCTGCGTCCCATCCACTGACGGCGTGTCCGCCAGACTCACCTACACCTCGTGCTGCTTCAGGCCGCTCAATGAACGCCAGGGAATCACCGAACGGTTGTTCAAGAAAAGGTCAAAGTGATTTCGCCAGAGCTGCATTATGTCTGCAGTCAGTGTGCACGCAGCGTCAGAGCTACCATCGAGCAGCGCCCTCAGCGGCTCCAACCACGGTCCACCCACCGCCTTCAAGGAGTCAAAGAATTCCTTGTGATGGCGGCGTTCGGCATAGCATTCCATCTGTTTTACCTTCACCGTCCACCATGCATTTTTAATGCGACGGAGCTCTCGGGTCAGTCGTCGTCGAATTTCGGGAAACTTACACTACTTATTTAAGTCGCTGGGGTCTGCGACATGTGCAGCAAATGTTGCATTCTTCTCACACACCAATGCGCCAATCGTCACATTGTTCCTATTAAACCAATCAGGCCGCTTACAGTTTGCGCGCCAGATGTTCGCCTTGGCAGCAGTTGTCACCTGATTGCGAATGTGGTGCCCCAGGTCGCCCACTGTGGTTATGAATTCCACATCCCACAGTGGTGCAGCCAGCGTCTTTTTCAGCTCAATACGCTTCGCCACAGTACCGAGGGAGAGAAAGTTAAATTTACCTCTCCGATTCACGGCAGACACTGTATGTATTTTTCCGCACGTTTATGTACAACTTGGTCCGCAGCAATTTGTGATCAGTGCCATACTCAGCTCCCGAGCAGTACACTTGTCATGCGCACTTCACGCATGTCACGCTGACGTACGATGACGTAGTCCAGCAGGTAAGCGTGACCAAGACGTGGGTGCGTCCAAGTTGCTATATCATTCGGACAGAGTGTAAACCGAGTGTTCGTGATCGTCAGGCCGTGAGTGGCATACAGTGAGAGCAGCCTGTCACCGTTTGCATTCGCTAAACCAATGCCATGAGGACCGATGACATCTATCCACACCGATGCATCATGCCAAATGCGCGCACTGAAATCACCCAGCAGAAATAGTCGGTCGCTCCTCGGCACAAACCTATCACAGATGATAGCTAAGTGTAGAATTGATCACGCGCGTCATAAGGATAACACATGGTCGGAAAGTACGTGCCTATAAAAGTGGCAAACTTACCACTTCTGAGTCGTAGGCGAATAATCATCAGTCGCGCGATTATGCCTGTTGATCCACCCACGAGCTGGCCATTTAGGTAATCTGATATTGTAAATCCGACTCTCCGTTCACGTGGTGCTGAGGCGTAGTTGCCCAACCAGTAGAATATGTAGCCAGCACCTGCTTCATGCAACTTACCTTGCTCAGCGACCCGAATCTCCCTGAGCGCTGCATTATCGAGGTTGTAGCGCGACAGTACCATCGCGACCAGTGAAGTGCGTCCTTCAAGGCGCTCACTCGTGTTCCCGTCCACTAGTGTGCGTACGTTCCAGCACCCGATATTGAGTGCTCAGTGAGAGTGATGGTTGTGCCTCTGAGATTTGCTTGAGGGACTTCACCCAGAGCCTTTGGCTCAATAGTCTAACCCACAAGCCTGTGGGTGATCTGCACGTTATGTTGACGGACTCCATCCGGACCCTTTGACTCAATAGCCTGACCCACAAGGTGGTGAAGAGTAGATTCAACTCAAAAGACAGATACGGATCAGCTTGAGGTCCGTCACACGCAAACTTTGAAGTTCTGGAACTATTAATTGTGTTTTGCAACCGTAGTAAGATACGCACCTGCGACCAGGGCTAGACGCAGGGTTCTGGCGGGTTTGCAACAATTTAATCAGGGGCTGCCTGGCTTGAGGCGGGCAATAGCAAAGCACTGAGCACCCGCAATTGCTCTCCCACCGTCATAGACAATGCGTGGCTCTCGTGCTCTACGCAAATCGAACGGTGAGCTTTTAACCTGTAGACCTGTTGCCTCCCTTGGCTAGGTTTTACGGGAAGTGGGCCATCGACCAATTCCTAACCTCCGAAGAGGAAGGGTTTGGATTAGGATACTGGCACGACGCCATGGAGAACCCACCACGCCAGCCAGCCTTCCTGTGCATCTGCCGCTGCACATCCTGTT